CTACCATCGGCTACAAATGGTCGGCTTCACTACCTAGCAGGACCTAGCCCTACCTACCAGGACGTTCCCACAGTACGAATATGTGGCCGCCGCTGTAAAAAAAGGGTAAAGACCGAAACCTTCACTCATGCTTGCGTGTTTTGTGAGGATGTCGAGCGAATTGCCCAATTGTACCCAGCCAAGAATCTATAAACAAATAACTGAAGGATGTAGCCAGGGAGCCTGGTCTGTGGTTGAATGAACAGTCGTGGGGTTCCCGGACACATAGAACAACACGAGTCTTCGATTCAGGTCATTCGGTCACACCACTGATTGGTGTTACGGCGGCGGGTTCCTCGCGCCTCGTCCATGGTGCCCTAGGGCCCTAGGGTCACACCACTGACGTTTTGTTTAAATGGAAAAATACGAGTGTTCGATTCATGTCATTCGACGATCCATGGGGCCCTGGGGTCACACCACTGACTGCCCTTCCGGCAGCGGGGTCCTCGTGCGTCGTGCACCGGGAAAAAACACGAGTGTCAGGTCACTCGACGATCCATGGGGTCATACCACTGACTGGTGTAACGGTCGTCGGGTCCTTGTATGCCGTACACCGTGCACATAGCAGCCATAGCAAAATAGGTGAGTTCGACTCAGGTCATTCGGCCATCCATGGGGTCCCATCACTGACTGGTGTTACGGTCGTTCCTCCTACGCATAACAACAAAATACGAGTGTTCGATTCAAGTCATTCGACGATCCATGGAGTCTCACCACTGACTGGTGTTACGGTCGTAGGGTCTTCGTAGACATGGGAAACACGATTGTTCGGTTCATGTCAGTCGACGTGCCATCGGGTTATACACCTCTATTTTTTCGCTGATTCTAACAGCTGTAGCACTGTAGCAGCCCGGCGGTTCTGTCAGTTTTCCCATTGTTTTCGTTTCTCTCTCTCTCTCTCTCTCTCTCTCTCTGTCTCTCTCTCTCTGTCTCTCACTCTCACTCTCACTCTCACTCTCTCTCTCTCTCTCTCTCTCTCTCTCTCTCTCTCTCTCTCTCTCTCTCTCTCTCTCTCTCTCTCTCTCTCTCTCTCTCTCTCTCTCTCTCTCTCTCTCTCTCTCTCTCTCTCTCTCTCTCTCTCTCTCTCTCTCTCTCTATATGTTTGCTTGTGCTTGGTTCGAGTTGTCTTTGCTTTCGCTTCGTTCTTTCGATCGCAATTATTTCGGAAAATATTCCGAATAAAATCCGCAAAACAGCCGAAAACAGCAGCATTTTCTTCGTACTTTCGATCGCAATTGTTTCGGAAAATAATCCGAATAAAATCCGCCAGAAGTCTGAGGACAGAAGCGATGGTGGCTTCAGATGATCATGTTCCTTTATTCTTGCTTTTTTCCATAGGGATTCCCAATAAATTGCCTGAACTTGCTTGAACCTCTCACTTTCTTCTCATTTCTGATCGCATGTTGTTCTCATTTCCAATCGCATTCTAAACGGAATGTGTTCCTCAATAATATAGTTTAAGACAAATCCTAATGGTAGCCTGTATTCTCTTCATAATGCTAGACTTCCAGTGGCATCTCTAAGCATACTTGCCTGTCCGTTCAGCTAGCAGGAGACCACTGATGTAATGCGTCCATTCCACTCCTCCCGGACCCCTCCTCGACCCCCCTCCCTGTGTGTGGTCGCAATATAATGGATCTGCACAGTTCCCATTTCAGCTTTAGGTCCTAGTCCGATTTCAACTTTTGATCATGGTCTTCGTGGATTGCTTCTGCTAAGCGCCGTGGTCATTGTTAGGTTATTCAGCTGCAGCCTGGAGATTACACAAGAACCGGTATCCATCGCGCACACGCACACACTTGCAAACTCTCTGGCGAGAGTAGCTAGACAAGGGTTACCATCACTTGGAACAATTGAACCGTCCTCGAAGCACTTGCAGGTACGTGAGCCAGGCGTCCCCAGCTCATATCAGTGATCTGTAACAGCCTCTTCGTTGACTGCCACTGCTACAGATCAGGCAGTCCCCCTGCTTTTTCCGAAAAGCCCTTTGCTATCAGGGATTCACACACACAGCTACTCCTCTGTGAGGAGTAGCGTGAAACTCGTCGTCTGAGGGTCACCATGACGTTTCGCAGGTTAACACCGCAGCCACGTCATGGTGCCCTTGTCGTCAGAGGGTCACCATGACGTTTCGCAGGTCAACACCGCAGCTACGTCATGGTGCCCTTAAAGAAGTCGCCTGGGGTAAGGGTCCTGCCCCATTGAGGCTTGGGTCCTGGCCTCTGGCAAAGCGTCGTCTGGGGTGAGGGTCCGGCCCCATTGAGGCTTGGGTCCTGGCCTCATGACATTCATTGATCATTCAAGATGTCATTCAAGGTGTCAATCATTCAAGGTGTCAATCATTCAAGGAGTCATTCAAGGTGGCAATCATTCAATGGTACATTCAAATGATCTGCAAATGCACTCAGACAGCTGCGGATCAAGCAAGGCATTCAATGTCTGGATCTGTACATTCAAGACGTCAAGCAGTTGCTACGCCCGGCCCTTTGACAGAATGCCGGTCGGAAACACACTTGCAAACTCTCTGGCGAGAGTAGCTAGACAAGGGTTACCATCACTTGGAACAATTGAACCGTCCTCGAAGCACTTGCAGGTACGTGAGCCAGGCGTCCCCAGCTCATATCAGTGATCTGTAACAGCCTCTTCGTTGGACTGCCACTGCTACAGATCAGGCAGTCCCCCTGCTTTTTCCGAAAAGCCCTTTGCTATCAGGGATTCACACACACACACACACAGAGGCCTCTACTGCTTCTCACGGAATATAGCTGCCGTAGATGCTGGAAAACCCTTGCGTTGACTCGCAGCCGTGGTTATCCTTCTCTTCTTGTGTTGCCGCCTGGAGACCTTGTACGAAGCGGTATCCAGCTAGCAGAGAACCATCATGCGTTGGCTTTGCGAGGCTCCGCGTAAGCCCCTGATCTCCCTTAGCCCGCTGGTGTGGATCACTCGCTGTGGGTGATTGCAACCAGAGCGGTTATATAAAGCGTACACCTTGAACCTTGGCCTGGAGACCTCCTTGTGAGTGCTATGCAGCTAACAAACAGAATGGACGCAGCAGGTTCCCGAGGCTCAGTAACATCTTTCGGTCGAACTGCTCCCGGCACCTGCGAAGGTGCCCGGAATGTGCACTGTGATTCGTTCACAGGCCGGGACGGTTGACTGGGGCTGATAATGTGCAAACCTCGTGAATGGTTTGCTTTGCAAGGCAGTTCCACGGATTCAGGATTGCTCCTCGGTTGATCTTCATTCATTTGATGCCACGTACCCGCGCCACAGTCGAACTAAATTCGACTACCGCTCTTGCCATGGCCGACCCGACGTTCGGCTCTTGCGCCAAGCTGTTGGCCAAGTCCAGCAGAAGGTACACAATGTCGGGGGCAGAAGTATCCGCTGCGAACTCTGGGATGGACAGGATGCATGACATGGCCTCGACTCCACCACGACGAGTTGCTGCTTCTTCGCGAGCAGAGGGCGGCATAAGTATAAGCATAGCGCGGGCAAATGCTTGCAGCCGCTAGTGGTCGTTGAGAGCCTTCGCCTGACATCCCCATGGCAGAGCGGGGTGACCCCATATCTCGGCCGAATGGGGGTGGCCTAAGTCTCCGGTCCGCATGACTGTCAGAGCACGTTCGTCTTTGCAAAGACGCCGGGGAGGCCATTACAGAAAGGGATGCTTAAGTCAGGTTGTGCACTTGCCGGCATGTTGAGGCGTGTGTGTGGCCGCTATCCAGGACTCGCTGTTTCGCGCACAGCTTCCTTGAGGGAAGAATGTAGTGCAGGGCAGCTTGTAGTTGTACGTCGTGATCCGGGTGTCACTTCCCTGAAGGATTGCTAGTGCCGGGCAGCTTGTAGTCCACACCGTTAGCCGGGTGTGGCGGGCCGCTGTGTGGGATTTTCGGGCTCTGAGGCCAACGGGGAGCTGCTCCCTATGACAGCAGGACATATGGGCTAACGTGCCTGCTGGCAGCCTCGTTTATGTCTCTGCACGTTCTGGCTAGCCAGTAGTCTGTGCGAGATGATGACCCACTCGGGGGCAGCAGGGGAGGCTTCCAGGTTGCATGCCATGACATTTCTCGTGTGTTCAGGTTCAGGACCGACAGCAGCCGTCCCAGTTTGTAGGATGGATCGAGGAGTTTCGGAGGTTATGTCGGATGGATGCGATTCGGCACATTGTCGCTTGCGACGAAAACCGTCGGCTCACACTCAAAAGGTATTTGGCCGAGTATTTGGCCGAATCCAAATATATGTATGTATAAATGATGATATGTGTTTCTCCAATCAAATATGTTTGCGAAGTTAAGAGGTCAACACAGACAGTCACTCGCACGTACACTTCCCTCGGACTGATGTTTTGACTGCTGGGGCGATCGACGTGCGGATGATGTCGACGGATGGGCTAGGCACCCAGTTGGCCTAGGTGAAAAGAAGTTCGTGCTACCAGGGCACGGGTCATAGCCAGTTTATGACGACAGTGACCGAGGGCCGTGGTGGGCGGGTGAACGGAAATTTTCGGCTGACCTTGGGCCCAAAACTTCGTCATGCTGAGGATGTCAACGAACAAAGGCACGTTGAAAGCAAGACGAGCACAAGTGCCGAAAATTAAATGATAAAATTTGAAGGGAGGAAAGAGTATGAGCCTAAGGTTTCGCTCGCGTCAAAACGCAGGTCGCTCGCTGTCGCCGCACACGACAACGCCATCGCATGCGCGAACGCACACGTCGCTTGCGACGAAAACCGTCGGCTCACACTCAAAAGGTATTTGGCCGAGTATTTGGCCGAATCCAAATATATGTATGTATAAATGATGATATGTGTTTCTCCAATCAAATATGTTTGCGAAGTTAAGAGGTCAACACAGACAGTCACTCGCACGTACACTTCCCTCGGACTGATGTTTTGACTGCTGGGGCGATCGACGTGCGGATGATGTCCCCTGTTTGGAAGCACGTCTGCCCTCACCCCTACACCACCAGGTTGGCGTAGGGATCTCTTACAGCAAGGAGGATCGCGTCCCTGACAGGTCCATCTGAGCCGAGGTCAACGACTCTGCCACCGAAGAGGCGGGCTGCAGCCTCTGCATCCCCCCTGGACGGCATGTCCGCAGGGTTGCTGAAGGAGCAAACCCTCTCGTACCATAGCACCGAAGGGTGAGAGATCTCGATGGACTGCATGACCCTGGCCATGGCTCTCAGAGACTCGGAGTCCGCGGTCCCCTTGGAGAGAGCTACCCTCGATGCTTCGTTGTCGATCCACATGACCGCGAGGCGATCTCGGATGACATGTCGGAGGAGGTATCTAGCAGATATTGCAGCGTAAGCTTCGATCTGGCAGATGAGCTGAGTGCCCACCTGCTGTTGCCATGCCGCAAGGAGCTCACCCGGAACTTCCAGTTCGAAGACTTGGGTGGCTTCTGTGGCTGGGTCGAAAACGACTCCGCCGGCGCCTGCCCTGCCCCCTTCCCAGGACCCGTCAGTGAAAATGATGACAGGCTGCCCAGTGACGGCCAAGTCAAACTCGCGCTCAGGAGTCCCCCGAAGAAGAGCTATGGCAAGCCTGCACAGAGCTCTGATCTCGGATGTGGAACGACGCCCATCCAGCAACTTGGCAAATTCCTTGGACAGGAAGCGTAGTCCCTTGGCCATGTAGAACCCGGCGGCGAAGTTCAAGTGACCTTGCAGAATCGAGAGCCGTCCGGAGTCGACGCGCCCCTCGTCGCTGAACTGCTGGATCATCTCGACTAGCCTGTCGATTCTGCCTGGCTTGTTCGATAGGCGGAATTTGGCGGACCGAATTCCCCTCAGATCGACCAAGACCCCGAGGGCGACGAACGAGCCGGCGAATTGCAGGGCTTTGTCGCCGTCTTTGGAATGGGCCCATCCCAAGCAGTCGAGGACGGCCGATACCGCAGATTTCAGGACCGGAGCTCCCATGGCCGGTTCTATGATGGGAAAGTCGTCGTAGAATACCGTGGTAAGTGCGGCGAGGAACTTGACCAACACATGGTGCAACGCACGTGAGATCCTCAGGAATGCGTACACCGAGGCGTTGGAGCCGAATGGAAGCACGTCCGACCTGTAGTACTGCCACCCTTCCGAGGTCGGGAAGCCCACGACACAGAAGGGCCTCGAGGCTGGGTCAATCGGTACTTGCTTGTATGCTCGGGCCAAGTCAAGCGTGCCTCCTTCCCACTCTGACGAGGCCACGAGATGGTGTACCGGGTTCCCGTCACAGTGCCCCAAGTGCAGGCCTGAGGCCACGTGGGCTACTAGGCAGGCTAAGACGTCAATGTCCATCAGCTTGACTTTGTACGACGGGGAGAAGGCAGAGTTTAAACCTGATGCCTTGGCGTCGTCTATAACCCTAAGCTTAAGACTAACTCCCTGGTAAATCGGGAACCTGGGGTTGAGTAACCAATGCTCGGAACCGAAGTGCTGGTGGGCATCGCTCTCCGTGAGGGGGCCTTTCAGATCGCCCCTGCTGACCTCTTCCATGGAGGCCGAGACAAGGTCGTTCTGATGCTGGTCACTGGGGATCTTACGAGACTGAATCATGGCTTCACGCCTGAGAGGAGCCGACGCAAGAAGGTTGTCCGGCGAGTCCGAGGAAGGCTCTCCTCCGGGTTCTAGATTGGGGACGGGCCCATGCGTCCCAACAAGAGGAATGCCTCTAGCCATCAAGTCAACGATCTCGCAATCATCGAAGTCGGAAGCCTTAGGAGGGCCTTCCAGAGGCAAAGTTTCTTGGGACTGAGGATGCTTGCCACGTCTGGGTCCAGGGACGATTTGAACTCGTCTTCTTTCCCCTCAAGCTCTTTGGCTAGCTGCTTGATGGTTATCACAGCCTGCAGACGCCGTTTTGCTGTGTCGACCGGGTCGGTTGTCAACACCGTGTCCACGGCATCTTTCAGCACCGTTGGGAGAACTTGGCCAGGATTCCTCGGATGTTCGGTCTGCTTGGCTGCATTCAAGTAGTCTTGAGGGTTCCACTGTCGGCCGATGTTGACGCATGCAGTGGAAGAAGACTCAGGGATGCTGTCTTGGGAGATTGGTACCCCCGATGGCAAAGAAGACAGCACGCGCTCGTGGGGCTGCAGAGGGAGGCGGCAGGCACCCGGGCACACTCGTAGAACTCGGGGATGAGCGGGCGAGAGCCGCGGCGGACGCTCTGAGATAGACTGGCGGAAGCAGTAGGCACAGGCTCGGGGAGCTGGTGACGCGCGGCTAGAGCCTGCGCCATGCGCAAACAAAGCAAGCGAGGGTACTGCGCTTCCTCGGCAGTGGCGAAGCGCGGCCCGCTGGCAGTCGGGTCAACGGTCCACGGCGCATGGGTGTGTGAGGAGTCGCAAGAGGCCCGGAGGCTGCTGAAAAGGCCGGGGGATCCTAAGATCTTGGTGCTCTTCTTGCGGCGGCCGCCGTGCATGCAAGAGTCAAAGATGCATTCTTCGAGCTGGGCGAGGAGATGCACACGCTGGGATTCCTCGGCCATGGCACGTAGCGCTGACCATAGCCAGGATCGAGAAGGGTTCTCGAGGCTGACGGTGGCACCCATGCTGGCGGCAAGCTCCAGGACGTCCAAAAGCGAACCAGAATACGGCATTGGCCTGGCAGACGCGGCGGTGTTCGGCAGGGGTGAGGTTAGGGAGGCCTAGGGGGTGGAGCAGATTACGCAAAGGCCGCGGGGCGGGCCCAGGCACACCGTGAGGCAGAGCACGTTCGCGGGCCCGCGAACAAGTGCCACAGGGGAGGCCGAGGTGCACATGTGCAAGCGGCTGTGTGCGCATCCATCGGAGCAAGAGAGCCTGTTGCTGGGGGCAGCTGAGATCCAGCTGGCAGATGGAGTGCTGCGGAGGATGCGTATTCCAGTGGTGGTCGACCGCCAAGGTGGCGAAGCCAGCAGCGCGAAGAGCGGCCGACAGGGAGGCCGAGCCGGCGCAAAGTTCGACCGCCATGGGTCGCAGGCTGGTTTGCGGGACAGGAGGCAGAGCGTTTGGCATGCCAGGTGCGCCACAAGAGAAGCCGGCGCGACTTAGAGTGTCGAGATCGGCGGGGCACAGGGTGTGCGCGTCAAGAGAAGTGAAGGCAACCAGAACGCAGCGAGTGCCCTCCCAAAGAAGCGTTTGGTGACGCGCCTCGGCAGCAGGAAGGAAGACGGGCCCGGAGGCCACATCAAGCACACAACCAGGCGTCACGACACCGTCCAAGAGGCGATGAGAAGTGCCGGAGGGGGACTCATACCACACGCCTCCACCTGAAAATGCCGTGAGAGGGATGAGCAGGTTGGGTTGGGACGGCTGGTTAAGGGCGTCCAAATGCAGGGGAGCAGTCAAATCGCAGAATATAGCAATGCTGGAGAAAGAGTGCGTGCCACAGGTAGCTCGCACAAAATCGGCAAGGGCCTTGGTCGCCAAAGGGAAAACACGGGTGTGGCGACGCAAGCCGGGTCCGCTGGAGTATGCAAAGGCTCCAGTGGTAAAAGACTTTGACTGAGGCAGCATAGATGCAGCACGAGCCGGAGTCTCAGCAGGCAAAAGTTCAAAAAGCTGATAGGCTTGCTCGGCAGTCATAACAGAGTTGGCAAAGCGGGCCGCAAATTGCTCAGCAGGGTGACCGGCGTGGGGCGGCGAGACAAAATCGCCGGTCTGCAAAGGCTCGTGTAGTCACGAGTGGCTGCACTCGCAGGCCGGCTTATGGCGGTGGCATCCGATTTTCCAGCACACGTGGTAGCCGTTGCTGCAACGAGCGCCAGGCTTCACATGAGAAGCGCGGCAGGTCCCCAGGTTGTACTTCATGCAAATGGGGCCCTTGGAAAAACGAATGGTGCAGCCATCAGGCACTTGGATGCGAGAGCCGGCGCCGGAGCCTTTGCCTGGGCCCTTCGCAGGGGTTCGACCCGGTGACGCAGCAGGCACAGGTGGAGCAGAGGAGGCACGCTGGCGTTTGCGCTTGCGGGCGGCCTGTGCAGCATGAGGCTTGGGAGGTGGGGTGTGAGAAGCATTCGCCAGCGGGAGGAAATGCCAGACGACCTCGGGGTGGTTGCTCAAATCCAGAATCAAATTGTCAACCAGCAAGGCACCGGTGGCGGCGTCACTGCGGCCCAGAAGCCCACGACTGAGCTGAGACAAGCGAACCCAAAGGGCTTTGTCAGCTGCCAAAATTTGCTCGAGGCCAATAGGAGAGTAACGACTGGAGGGCACAGGAGTCGAAAGACGATCAAAGAGATTCTGGGCCCAGGCATCCAGAGCCTCGTAGGTGGCAACACCCGCGATGTCGTAAGCCATGGCCCGCCGCTGAAAAGCGGCACGAAGGAGGTGGGCAGTGGAGATATCGCACTCACCACCCGCGGACTCCCGCGACACCTTGATGGCACCATCCGAGCCGAAGCGCAGAGAAGCGGAAGAGCGTTCAGCAAGGGCCTCTTGGTAACGGCTGATGCACTTGTTGAGCTGCAGGTATTGAAGGACGCCCTCATCGAACTGCTGAGATGCCTTGTCCACCAGGGCATGCGCAGGCTGATTGTGATCTGTGAAGGTGACCCCGACGAGCCGATTCTGTAGGCGAGAGCTGCGCTCGAGTTTCTCCTGTAAGGGAAGAACTTTCGGCTCGGAATCTGAGGTGCGTTCAAGCTTGCTGCGCAGATCTTGAAGAGCCAGAGCCTGCGCCTCAAACGCAAGGCGGCGCAGGGCAGTGGTCTGGTGAGCCGAGAGAGCTGAAGAGACGAGCGAGCCCACATGACGCATAAGTGCAACATCGTCGATTCCACTGTTAGCCTGGTGTGGCTGACAGAAGGCAAGAGAGGCATACGTGTCGATGCCCCCGGTATGCAGCTCTTGCACAAAGGTTGCGGCCAATCCGAGCTCTATAGGCAGCGAGCCTCGAAAGTAGCTGAAGAATCCAAGGCCATGGCGCAGTCTGAATTGCCGTGGTGAGCCGTAACTCGGTGCAGGCACAGACCACAAGCTGAGGCAGAGGCAAAATGCGAAGTCTAGGCAAGGCAGGCACAAAGCGATTTTCTCGGCAAGGCACAGTCATGCAGCGGCGGACAGCACACGTGAGGCGCTGCACTGGCCACAAAATGCAGTCTGCTCAACATCAAGGTCAGCCGGCGAAACACACTCAAAATTGCAAGAAATGGAGCGGCCGCACATCAGACGCTCAGGTGAGTGGGGAGACTGCACATGGACAATACCGCTCACAGAGTGCACAAGCCAGGCGTACTCGTAGGCGGCGGCCGGCAGGGGAACTCGATCTCGATGTAGCGGTGCAGGAAGACCGGCGGGTTCATCATCGGAAGAAGAGCTAGATGCAGGCTCCTCGGAGGTCTGAGCAGAAGCTGGACGGGGCGCATGCACCTGCACCATGGAACGCAGTCGGCCAAGAGCGTCAGCATCAGGACTCAACTCGCCGGAGTCGATGGAAATCAGCAAGTGCCAAACCTTGGCCTGAAGACGAATGATGGCCTGGCGGTCGTATGTAGTTGCCGACCGAGTAGAAGCCTCAATGTGATGTCCAAGCAATGTGCGTTCTTCACGAGTGAAGAGAGGGCTCACGCCAGCCCAGGCCAACAAGGTGGTTTTGCAGGAGTGGGCACGAAGTGCCCGCACATCGGTGGGGTCAAGCTCATGAGAGAGGATCTCCCGCAACCATCCAGTGGCCTCGGAAGTAGTCATGGGATCACCGAGAGCCCACTTCTGCTCGCGTTCGTTCCAGGATGGCAGGCCCTGCGAGAGGTCGGACTCGGCTCGAAGAGTCGCAAGACACGCAGCCCATGACTCACAGCCCGGCCACTGACCTAAGCCAATGAATGGAAGGAGCTCGACCTGGGCCTCCTTGGAGTGTGCGGTCTTGTGCTGGGAAGTCGCGGACTCGAAGATGCTGAACTCGTCGTCAGAGAGCACCCGGAAGAAGGCAAGGAAGCGCAAGTCAGACCAACGCGCGACTGCAAAGATGCACGCAAGAAGGTGGCCAGAGATAATGCGCGTATGCAGAGGCCGGGACGGGTCGCAGCACCATGCCATCAGGAAGCGGATGGCACGAACAGTCAAGGCAGGGGCTTGCTTGCGCTTTTGTTTGCGAACATACATGGCATGCGCCACACCACGAATGCGGGCGCTGTCCACCTCACGCAGAGAGATCCGCTGGAAGCGAAACAAACCGTCAGCGAAGCGCAAGGCCTCCAAAGCGGAGGCGCCGGAAGTAGCACCACTGTCAGCTTCACGAAGTGAGCAGAGATACTCATAGAGAAGGGGCTCCGAAACCATGAAGGGGCTGCGGCCGTCCACGGAGGCCAGGTAGTGAGCCAAGCGCCAGAGAGAGCCTGTGCGTTTGCTGATGGTGCCGGTGGCCTTGGGCCGCAACGTGTCCTGAAGAACCAAGAGGGCTCGGTCAGGTTCCAAAATTTTGCCGAAGCACGTAGTCATCTGAATACCGGTCTTGGTGGCCGACGGGTCAAGAAGCAAAAGAGTCTTGAGCTGCACCAAGCAACGGTCACGAAGGGCCGCATCAGTGACACGAAAAGTGGCAGCTTTGATCCGGGCCAGGCTGATGTCTGGGGGAGCTGCGGCAGAAGAGAGCTCTAGGGAATTCGTGGACGGGTCGGGAGGGGTGGGGATCGGTTGAGGCCGTGGACCAACTGGTGCAGGGAAACGGGTGGTGGGCAGGGATGCAGGAGACCCAAAGACGAGGCCCCAAATGCCATGTTCGTAGGGAAGCTTCGGCAGGGACACATCACGTTGATACACCACGGCTCGCTGAACTTCGGAACTCAGGACCGGACCAGGGTCCTGAGGCAGTGCAGATCCCACACGTTCCCATCCATCGGAGCCCGAGCTGCGTTCGGGGGCCGGATCTAGGCCGTGGTCGCTGTCAGCCAGACCTCTAAGGGGAGAACCGGCGCGCGATGCAGCATTGAAAAAGGAAGGACTCCAGGATCTGGCATCTTCCGAAAGCAGAGGTGAATGCTCCTGAAAGAGAGAATCAGCACGCTCTGCTGCTTCAACAATGCGAACGGAAGGACTCCGGGATCGAGCATCTTCAGAGGCTTGAGATGCCTGCAAACTCCATCGGCGGCGGAAGTTCACCATGGGCCCCGATCTCGAGAAGAAAACAGGCCATAAGGCAACAATGCAAAGGCTGCTTATTTCCCAACGAAACTTCCGTTTGCGCGCGTAACGGGAAACCCTTAACCGCGCTGCAGTTAAACCCTGTGCAAGCACTCTCTTTTTTTTTTCTCCTAGCGGACATGGGGGGTCAGTTCGGGCCCGATCTTCGGGCACTGAAACGAAGGATGCCGCTGGCATCTGTCTGAAAAGAACGACCGCTGGTCGCAGGTAAGGCGAACGACTGGTTCACCCCCCTCCTGCCCCCTACCAGGGGTGTCTCAGTACTACTGGAGACAAAGGTGAAACTTTCTTCGACCCACAGGGTCGCTGCAGTCTACTACTAGCTACTCTGCGTTGTTGACGGCCTACGGCCTATGTACAGCAAAGCACGCTGTGCTGAAGATGAGATCTCTGCTAGAGATAGAACAAGGAGCGCTGCTCCGGCAGCTCTGCTGCCACAAGCGTGGTCCCAGACCCCGCATACTATACAGGGTGTGGTGGGTGGGATAAAAACTTTTGGATCACAGATCCACTTCAAGCCGAAAGCTGCACGGCAAAGTTTGTCTAGTGTTCACAACACACAAGTGAAAACACTGTTTTCCTTTTACGACAAAACTTTGTCTACACTTTCGGCGGGAAATAAAACCCATTCACGCACGCATGATGGAAGCTTATTTCCCAACGAAACTTCCGTTTGCGCGCGTAACGGGAAACCCTTAACCGCGCTGCAGTTAAACCCTGTGCAAGCACTCTCTTTTTTTTTTCTCCTAGCGGACATGGGGGGTCAGTTCGGGCCCGATCTTCGGGCACTGAAACGAAGGATGCCGCTGGCATCTGTCTGAAAAGAACGACCGCTGGTCGCAGGTAAGGCGAACGACTGGTTCACCCCCCTTCAAGGCACTCGAAGCCTTACTCACCCCCCATCTAGTCCGCGCCGAGTGACAAGGCCAACAGCACTGCGTTGGGAGGAAGGAATTAGCGCTCTGCGCCAAGTTTCTCAGTCTCTTCCCACCAGTCTCTGCTGGGGCCATCAGTAATGTTGCTGACGGTGGGCACGCGGAAGAAAGCAGCCCTGCACTGCAGGGACTCCTCCACGTCGACTGCCTGCGATACTATCGCGGCGCCTGCCGCCTTCCTTGTGAAGGCTTTGTGTAGGGATGTACGCGCTGCGTCATTGTCAATCCACACGAACAGGTCACTGCCTGCTATGTGCTTCGCCCACAACTGTAGGCTCAGCAAGTATGGCAGCAGCTCGCACTCGAAACGAGCTGTTGCTTCTGAGCTCTAGCGACCCACTGGGTCGCTACGTGGCGGCTAATCTGTAGCCCCCAGGGTGCTTGCGATTCCCTTGCCTATGGGCACTGCTCCAAGGCCGCACTTCGGGAACAGACGTGGGGATTCACACGACGTTTATGCCTGCAAAAGAGCAAGGGAGAGGGCCCTTAGCAACCCGCAGTGGCCCTTACGGACTCGCAGCGGGCTTGTACAACAAAAAATCGGCCATTTGCAGGCAATTTAAGGACTAAAAGTACCTGCTCGCACTGTGAGACAGGTGCTGGAGAAAGGAGTCTGCACTTGTGCCTCCCAGAGCTGAGAAGCGGCGGCTGCTGCACTGCAGCAGCGGGCACGAACGGGTGATACAAGCCCCTTCGTTGCGCGTTGCGCGGCAGAGCAGCGCACTGCGTTTGATGTGCAATGTTCTTCCCCCAGTCTCGGTTGGGGCCAGCAGTGCAAGTAACATCAGGCTCTGGGGCCTTGTGCGCGCACTGCGCGGCGCTGTCTTAAAGCAACACAGAAGCTCGTCATTACTAACGCGAGCCCACAGAAAATCAGCGGGCAGGGGGCCCTTAGCAGCTCGCAGGGGCCCTTAGGGACTCGCAGCGGGTCCTTGCACCAAAAGGTTCGCCATTTACGAGCAAATTTAGGCTTGAAACCACCTGCCCGCACTGTGAGTCAGGTGCGGTAGAAAACAGTTTCCACCGGAGCCTTCCAAAGCTCAGCACGCTTCAACTGAGGCTGAGCAGATAGGGTGGAACACGAGCTGCGGTTTCTGCCAGATTGCTCCCAGCAGTTTTACAACTGCCTCACTGAGGCAATTCAGCAAGGAAAGCACCTAAAGCCTCACTGAGGTCAGTCGATGCACCGCCCTGGTAAGTAACAGATCTCCGGGGCACTGCCCTGGCGTATGGAGTGAAAGCGTTACTTTCACTGCTGTTCGCGCGCCAGTCGCGCCGCCAAAGGCGCAGTTGAACCAGTGCTGCAGACACTGCAGGGCACGGCGCGGACTCCGCGCAAGAGTCCCAAGCGGCGTGGTTGGCAGCACTGCTGTGCGCAGGGCTAGGCAGGGCACTGCAGGGCGCATGCTGCCGCCAAGAAAACCGCATGGTTGGCCACTGGGCTCTCGCTGTGGGGCCCTTAGAGACTCGCAGCGGGCCGTTAGGGACTCGCAGTTGACCCTGGGACAGGAAAGTCAGCAAAACGCGACCATTTGAAGTGCAATTTAAGCAGCACCTCGCGCGACGGCGCTACAGGGCAGGCCTACTAGGCCTGGGGCCTGGCGGCCTACAAGGTTTCAGGAGTCACTTGCGGGCGCTCCTTTTGCCAGGCAGACAGAACAAGAGGCCTACTAGGCCTGAGTCTGTTATACCAGAAAATTGTGAGCTGCAAGGCCATAGGGACACCAGTGAAGACCTCTCTGCCAGTGATGACCACGCGCCGACTGGGCAGACATAAGGAGAATCCTACTAGGTTTGGGGCCAGTTGCCTTTGAAGCTGGGAGCCTACAAGGCCACAGAAGTCTCCTGTCATCACTTTCACTGACGATTCACATCGCGATGACACAACAACAAGCCAGCGAGGCTTGGGGCTACTAGGCCTGACGTAGAATAACGTGCCTACCAGGCACGTTAACGAGAGCCGACTAGGCCTCGCGCCAGTAGGCCTTGGCAACATCTGCCTCTGACGATCGTATGCCGACTCGGCGCGTGAGACCTACGAGGTTTAATGAGGCCGCTGGGGGGCCTAAAGGCCGCGGGCCTGCGAGGTTGCAAGAGTCTCCTCTCTGTTACCGGTGACGAGACACAACACAAGCCTGCTAGGCTGGAGGCCAGCAAGCCTGCTTGAAAACAACCTGCCTACCGGGCACACAAGCGGGAAGCCGACCCAGGCCGGCAGGCCTTGGCGACTTCTGCCCCTGACAATTGAATGCCTCGCCCCAGACATTCATCTCAACCGGAGGTAGGCGAACCGAAACCACGACCGTCTCTGACAGTTGGTCTGGGCCGGGGGCCACTGGCCCCGCAGGACTCCCGCTGGAAGAAGCCCCTGTGAGCAACGCCTCTGCTAAGGCACCTGCTTGCGGTGCGGTCGGTACTGCCGGAAAGACCCTGGGCGAGACTTCCCGAACCGCTTCGAAGCCGAGAGGCGGGCCTGGGGCCGACTGGGCCACTGGGGATGCCCCACGCAGACTTAGCGATGCAAGACCAAAGCTTACTAAGCCGGATAATTGGAGCCAGCGCGAACAGAGCCTACCAGGCGCGAAAACTGTAAACCTACTAGGTCACAAAGACAGCTATCGGCCCTTTTCCTGCACGGACGAACACGTGCCTATCAAAGGGAAAGAAAAACAGGGCCTATTGGTGCCCACCGTAAAACCAGCTTAAACAGAGCCTACTAGGTTTGGAAACTGTGAGCCTACAAGGTCACAGAGTCAGCTGTTTTCCGCCACTGGCGCGTGCCTACGAGGCAGATGCAGAAACAGAGGCTACTAAGCCGGATGATGTGAACCCACTGTGAAGACAGCGCGAGCAGAGCCTGCTAGGCCTGAAAACTGTGAACCTAAAAGGTCACAGAGTCAGTTGTTCTCCGCTACTGCTAGCCTCTAAGGCTAGGACCGTCAGCTATGTTGCTGTCGGCGGGGACTCGAAAGAAGGCCGCTCTGCACTGCAAAGTTTCCTCCATGTCCACTGCCTGTTGATACTATCACGGCCTTGTGTAGAGACGAGAGCGCTGCGACGTCTATCACTGACAGCTGCATGCCTCGTCCAAGACATTCCTTGTCCCAGACCTCACCTAGACCGCTCCCGGTCCAGGGTGGGCGAGCCGAAACCAAGACCGTCTCTGACGGTTGGTTTGGGCTGGGAACCACGGGCTCCGCACGACTTCCACTGGAAGAAGCCCCTGTGAGCAAGGCATCTGCTGGAGCAGCTGCTTGCGGTGTGGCCGGCACTGCTGGCACGAGCTTGGGCGAAAGCTCCAGGCGGGGCTGGGGCCGACTGGGCCACTGGAGCTGCCCCACGGCAAACGGAGTTTCTGTGCTGAGTGCGGCGCGTGGTCTACTAGGCCGGGGGCAGGTTTCCAGCGGGCTGCCACTGGCAGGGATTTGGGCCAGGCCGTGTCTAGCGCCAAGCCGTGTTCGGCGAGAACAAGTCCGTTAATAGAAGACTGCCTGCGCCGGCCGGCCTCTGGCACGGGGCCTGGGAAGAAGCAAGAGCCAATGGCCTTGGCTTCTACACGAGAGCGCTCACGCGAGGAACGCAAGCGGTCCCCAGAACGAAGACCAACAGAGGCAGCGCAATGCGCACACCAGAGGAGTGCACTGGGTTCACTGCAGTTTCCGCAAAGTGGCAGGCAAGAACGCACTGCGCTCGGCCTGCTGTTTGTTCCCAGTGGGCTCTGGGGCTGTCTTACTAAGGCAATTTTTTAATTGCAGTAATTAATTAACCACCAAATTGCGGGCAGCAACGCGCTTCACTGAGCGTGCTGTTTGTTTTCCCAGTAGCCTCTCGGGCTGCCTTACCGAGGCAAGTTTCCACCGTAGCAACCGCAAGCTGGCAGGTAGCAACGCACTGCGCTGAACTTGCTGTTTGTACACAGTATTTACTGCTGCGGCCTTCCGAAAACAACTTTGCATTGCCGCAACCGCAAAGTGGCAGGCAGCAACGCATCTAGCCTGCTGTTTGTTCCCAGTGTTCACTGGGTCT